GCAACACCACCTCCGCTCAACCAGACTCAATCTGCCCAACCAGACTCCTCACTCTCCTTTCTCTAAGCTGCATGGTCTGGCTCCACATAAAACCCAATAGGGTTAGTGTGAGGCAGTAGGTCAGGGTTAGAGAGTTCCGTTCACACACATCAAATAATGAATAATGTATGTATAGATATAGCTATAACAGATTTTCTCTGATATCACTAAGACCTTCCTCATAAACCCAGTGCCCTGTTAGTTGTGAGGGTGGATGGATTGAGCTGCTCCGGTGTATATAGTGCCTTCGGAAAGTATTCAGACCTTGACTTTTTCCACATTTTGTTATGTTACAGCTGTCACGATCGTCTAAGGAGGAGGACCAAGGCGCAGCGTTGAAGGCAAACATATTCTTTATTTAATAAATGATCACACGATCAAAACAACAAAACGAAACCGTGACGTCCCTGGTTACATACACCAACCAACACGGAACAAGAAACCACAAAATAATGAATGCCTAACGGCTACCTAAGTATGACTCCCAATCAGAGACAACGAGCTACAGCCGTCTCTGATTGGGAGCCACCCTGGCCAACATAGAATTACAACAACTAGAACATAAACAAATGAAAACTCACACCCTGGCTCAACATACTAGAGTCCCCAGAGCCAGGGCGTGACAGTACCCCCCCCTAAAGGCGCGGACTCCGACCGCGCCAACCAAATACAACAGGGGAGGGACCGGGTGGGCACTCCGCCTCGGCGGCGGATCCGGCTCCGGACATGACCCCCACTCCTTCTCTAACCCCCCAAAGTACCCCTGGTCCGGTCTGGCCCAGAGCTGAACTGAACACTGGTGGAGCGGATTGCTCTAGCTCCGGCGTGACGCAGCACCTGACCGGTGCCGGACCCGCCACCGGTGGAACAGGCACGGGCCGTGCCGGACTGACGACGCACACCACTGGCTTGGTGTGGGGAGCAGGAGCGGACCGAGCCGGGCTGACGAAACGCACCACTGACTTGGTGCGGGGAGCTTGGATGGGCCGGACTGGGCTGGCGACGCGCACCACAGACTTGGTGCGGAGAGCAGGAACGGGCCGGACAGGGCTGACGAAACGCACCACAGACTTGGTGCGTGGAGCAGGAATGGGCCGGACTGGGCTGGCGACGCGCACCACAGACTTGGTGCGGAGAGCAGGAACGGGCCGGACAGGGCTGACGAAACGCACCACTGACTTGGTGCGGGGAGCAGGAATGGGCCGGACTGGGCTGGCGACGCGCACCACAGACTTGGTGCGGAGAGCAGGAACGGGCCGGACAGGGCTGACGAAACGCACCACTGACTTGGTGCGGGGAGCAGGAATGGGCCGAGCCGGGCCGACGAAGCGCACCACTGACTTGGTGCGGGGAGCAGCAACAGACCGGACCGTACTGGGGACACACACCACTGGCCCTACACCGGGATCTGGAACGGGCCGGACCGGACTGGTAACACACCCCAGTACCTCTCGCCGTGCCTCTCCACCTTCCATCCCCTCTTCGACCAGTGGCCCCCGTAACCTGGCGGCCTCCTCTGGCAACCCGCTGGGCCGCTCTATCGCGGCCTCCTGCTGCCCCGACGTCGTGAGCCCCCCCCTAAAAATTTTCTGGGAGTCTCTCTTCCCCGTGGGCCAGGCCTCTATAATTCTCGCCCAACTCTCGCTCTTCTGCTTCCAATCTCCGCCATTCAGCTCCTCATTCGGCTTGACCCAGTCGAAGCTCTTCCTCCACTGTTCCCAAGTCCACCCACTCTGCTCCTCACTAGGCTGCTTGGTCCAGTTCTGGTGGTTTCTTCTTATTCTAAAATGGATTTTAAAAAATTAAAAAATCTCAACAATCTACACACAATACCCCATAATGACAAAGCAAAAACAGGTTTTTAGACATTTTTGCTAATTTATTAAAAATAAAAAACGGAAATATTACATTTACATAAGTATTCAGACCCTTTACTCAGTACTTTGCTGAAGCACCTTCGGTAGCGATTACAGCCTCGAGTCTTCTTGGGTATGCCGCTACAAGCTTGGCACACCTGTATTTGGGGAGTTTCTCCCATTCTTCTCTGCAGATCCTCTCAAGCTCTGTCAGGTTGGATGGGGAGCGTTGCTGCACAGCTATTTTCAGGTCTCTCCAGAGATATTCTATCGTGTTCAAGTGCGGGCTCTGGCTGGGCCACTCAAGGACATTCAGAGACTTGTCCCAAAGCCACTCCTGCGTTGTCTTGGCTGTGTGTTTAGGGTCGTTGTCCTGTTGGAAGGTGAACCTTCGCCCCGGTCTGAAGTCCTGAGCATTCTGGAGCAGGTTTTCATCAAGGATCTCTCTGTACTTTGCTCCGTTCATCTTTTACTCGATCCTGACTAGTCTCCCAGTCCCTGCCGCTGAAAAACATCCCCACAGCATGATGCTGCCACCACCGTGCTTCACCGTAGGGATGGTGCCAGGTTTCCTCCAGACGTGACGCTTGGCATTCAGGCCAAAGAGTTCAATCTTGGTTTCATCAGACCAGAGAATCTTGTTTCTCATGGTCTGAGAGTCTTTAGGTGCCTTTTGGAAAACTCCAAGCGGGCTGTCATGTGCCTTTTACTGAGTGACTTCCGTCTGGTCACTCTACCATAAAGGCCTGATTGGTGGAGTGCTGCAGAGAGGGTTATCCTTCTGGAAGGTTCTCCCATCTCCACAGAGGAACTCTAGAGCTCTGTCAGAGTGACCATCGGGTCACCTCCCTTCTCCCCCGATTGCTCAGTTTGGCTGCGCGGGCAGCTCTAGGAAGAGTCTTGGTGGTTCCAAACTTCTTCCATTAAAGAATGATGGAGGCCACTGTGTTCTTGCGGACCTTCAATGCTGCCTGGGGGAATGGGGGGGGGGGGGGGGGGGGGGGGGGGGGTTGTTGAGTAGAGCTGCTTTTCTCATGTCTGCATTGTTGGCGTCCCCCCAATAAAAACTGTGTGTTTAGCCTGATGGAGTTATGAATGTTCCTTCTGGAAGGACCTGAGAAAGACTGTTTAAATGTGTTGTTGATGGCTAAAACGCCTGTATTGGTTGGGGGGAAGCTCTGTTTAAGTTGGCCGGTGGAGGACAAAAAAGGTGGAGAGGTCCAAAATGATAAAAATATATGTAACCAGACATTCATCTGTTTATTTTAAACTCACTGCCCCATGGTATATGGATTCTCAGAACCACTTATGGTGCACATTTAAGTCCTTGGTCGTTTTATCTCATGCATAACCATGTGCCTGTGCTGTGGTGCAGATTTCACATTAATTGTTCTCAATGCATTTCTGCATTATTCATGTAGCCTATGTGTCTTTGTCAAACACTGTGTTATAGTGTGGTGAAGTTTAATATAGTTTAGTGTAGTGTCGTTTAGTGTAGTTTAGTGTAGTGTAGTTATTGTCGGTTAGTGGCGTGTAGTGTAGTGCATATTAGGTGCAGCTTGTGTACTAGATCTATTCAGTTGATAGTGAAAAGATGGAATATTTGCTTTGAACAATTTAAATTACCAACCTGTGTAAATTGATTCAGTGCTTTCAGAGGCGGTTGGAATGGGCTTAGTTTTCTCTTTATCCCTGGTGTAAAGTGGAAATGCGAATACATATTGCAATGGAACCCTAGTAAAGAACCTGAGGTGTGGGGTGTGGACCTGAGAGAGAGATGGGGGAGGAGAGTTAGTTGCCAGGGAGGAATAAGTATTGTTTGGATGGAGAGTTGGGATAGATGTCAGAGTGGTGTGATGACAGAGAGTTGGAAGAATGAAAAGGGAGAGAGGATATGGTTCTAGGTGCTGACTCACCTGACAACTGGGAACTGGGCTGTTCTGTGAAATCAATAAGTTGTTCATTTTGCAGACAGTATTTGGCCTCTCAGACAGTATGTGTGTAAGTGTGTGTGTTTATGGCTAGGATTGGTGTTTGGGTTTCAGAGTGATTAGGTTTGTGTGTGTGTACGTGTCTGAAAAAGGGTATACGTGTTTATAGCCAAAGCCCCGTCCCCTCTCTCTTCCTCCTTCCCCATACTCCCTGCTACAGAAATAAACATCACCCACAGACTGACAGACTGCACGCTTTTGTCTGGGACTGGATTCCAAAGCCTCAGGGATGTGCTATTTCTATGGCCCTGAGCCAAACAGCCAGCCATATACTATACCCCTTACTCTTTCTCACACTGCCATGGAGTCCTATACCTACTCTCCCTCTCTCTCTCTCTCTCTCTCTCCTCTCTCTCTCTCTCTCTCTCTCCCTCTCTCTCTCTTTCTCTCATGTCTCATATGGATATAAACATACTTAGCGATAGGGCATTAATGTATATACACACACTAATTTGTATAAATAAAGTCAGGATTTACTGATCTCTCATAGGAGAGCCTTGGTTTGCTGTCTCTCTGTCTCTCTCCATCCTACAGCAGCCTTGATAAATAAACAGCAACATGGCAGGAAGCAAACATCTCAGTGAGCTAGGCTGGGCCTTGGCTGGGCCCGAGGTGAGACAGGAAGAGAGAAAAAGTGGAATGTTAGTGTATGTATGCCTGTACGTGGGACTAGAGAACCGTTTCCTTGTTTAGATTCGAGAGGATTTTCAATAGGCCTTTCTTTCTGTTTGCTCAGAATGGGTTGCATGTGTTTTACAATTCTACCTCCCTATTGTACGAGCCACTCTGACGCAAGTGAGGTTTTCTCTTTCATTTAAATTACTGGGGGGGGGGGGGGGGGGGGGGGGGGTTGGTGGAGCCAAACTACTGTCTCTCCTATTTTATCTTCCAATCCCCACCCCTCCCATCCCTTACACCTCCCCCCGTAGTCTTAGACTGAATGGGAGAGGACAGAGACAGCCGTGTCCCTAGTGAACTGAGTAACCCTTTGCTCTATTTTGTTATTTGAGAAAACCTTACTACTTTACCTGAGTGGTTGAAAGTGAGCCACAACGACTGTGTTGAATAATGTACCCAGATCTGTGCATTCATTCTGTAGTGTATGTTTTCCTATATGTTTGAGCCAGAACTGTGTTGTGTCTGTGTGGTCTGTCTGCAGGTGTACCTGAAGGCCCCTATGATCCTGAATGGAGTGTGTGTGATCTGGAAGGGCTGGATAGACATGCAGCGCCTGGATGGGATGGGATGTCTGGAGTTCGATGAGGAGAGAGCACAGGTACTGTAGCACATAATTCATGACACCCACTGGTCCCCAAGCACCACCAACACAATACACACAACTAGATGGAACAATTAGCTACAATATATACAAACATTTACATACAATACTTTTAAATTGCTTAACTAGAACTAAACTAAACAGGTTGTGCCCCTGCTCCTACATATACAAACAAAACACCCACTCACTGGGCCAAACAAACTGTGTGTCTCTGTGTGTCTCTCCCACTCTGTGTGTGTTCAGCATGAGGATGCCCTAGCGCAGGCAGCCTTTGAGGAGGCACGTAGGAGGACCCGGGACTTTGAGGACAGGGACCGCTCGCACAGAGAGGACCTGGAGGTGAGACAGACTGGACAGGCTGGGGATGGGGTGGGCTAGTGGTTTGACAGATTCTGAATGTCCCCATAGTCACATGATTAGTGCTAACGAAAAATGGTGATGTTGGAAGATTCTGATTGTTTGTGTCCCCTGTGTGCTATATGTAGAGAGATTGTTACCATGAGAACCCTTGCCAATTTTCCCTAAGGGAGCTGTAAATTTACCTTGACAGTTGTGTGAATAACCCGTTTTGTTTTAGATATTCAACCCTCTAACACAAATCTTGAACTTATTGTGTGTTTGTCTGAGTTGTCATGTGTGTGTTTGTGTATTTTATTGAAAAGTATTTCTTATGGTATCTACAGTAGGTTTAGTGCATGAAGAGTCTATTCATAATAAGAACTCAAAGAAACGTATTCATTCATTCTCAGATTGATCCTAAATGCACCCCCCCTAAGATGAAAACCAAATTGTGTTTTTTTAGGACCCTGTGGCATCAAAAATCTGGGACTGATGGCATTCAAGAACCAGGGTCTGTCTTCTTTGCTTTTCAATATCACTCTGTCATGCACTAAACCGTGTGTGTGGTATGTGCGTTTTGTCTGTGTGAGTGTGTTTGTGTGCGTAGTGAGGTGTCTGTGTGTTTGTGAATCAACACAAGAGCATGTGCATGTATGTGAACAATTTAAAGTATCTGAGTCTGCCTGTTTTAGTGCCTGCATGTGAAGAGAGAGAGTGAATGAGTGATTGAAGAGAGAGAGGAAGAAAGTTACATGTCAACAGTATTTGCTGAGTTAACACTGTGTAATGAATGCTTAATGATAATGTGGGTTCTCTCATTCCCTAAAATCTCAGGGTCAGTCATATGAATATGGTTTATGGATTTTTTTAATGCATTTTATGATTTTATGATAGTAGGATGTGTGCAGGCCAGAAAACCCTACCAGGGTATAAGCTGGAAGACAGACCCCCCACACACACTCTCCCCCAGTGCCTAATGGAGAACAGACCTCCTCACACACACACACAAGCACCACCCACCCTCACCCTGCTGCCGGAGGAGTCCGCTGCAAGGCCTGCTGGGACATATCTGCCACAGCTTGGCAGCACATGATTCTGAAGAGAGCGAGAGAGAGAAAGAGAGAGAGAGAGAGGGAAAGGGAAAGGGAGAGCATCTGAAGCAGTGCTTTCATGTTCAAGTCTAGTATTTCCTCCCTCAGTAACATACCCTCAAGCTCCCTCAGGAAGAATGGACTCCTTTCTTCTGAAAATCAATAAGCCATTGCTCTTTATGGAGATATTATTGGTCAAAGAAAAAGAATATTAATCTTTCCAAAAAACTGACGTCTCTGACATCGAGCCTGGAGGAGATCTCAAACAGAATTGTGTGTGTGGAAGGTGTGCATGTAGTCAATGTATGACACATCTTCCAACTAAACACTTTCCATGCGTTTCATTCTCAAAAACTGACTGTGGTGGAAAAATGAAACCCCATAATCATTTTCATCACATTTAAATGTTTTTTTCCATCCAAGTTATGTTGAAATAGCAGAATGTCGTCTCCTGAACTGCTCTGATCCAGAATTTTCTGATTAGACTAGCATTTAGCAAATTCTCTAATTGTTGAATCCCCCTGCTCTGGTGTCCTCTCAAGGATGGAGGAAGCTGATATTGTTGGTTTTATTTTAGATAAAAGATCATATTTGCATTTGGACAGCACAGGACCCTGTTTTTATGTTTGAGGACATTCAACCATTGCATTTCTGTGGTCTGAACTTGTGATCCTATACTCAGTCCACCATAACTCAATAAAGGCCAACAGCACAATGACAGTCTGCCATCAAGTGGGAGCTGGGAGGCCTCTAAAGGGTTTAGAAACCTGTCATTTAGTTCAGAAATCACAGCTCTTCTCTAGCAAGGTTGTCAGTGTCAGCTTTGAGTATGTGTCTAAGTAAAGCATATATGGGTAATTCCCATGTTGTGTGGCCTTTGCGTGTTTTGTTCAGGTTTTTTGTTCAGGTTTTATGTTTTTCTTGGTGTTTGTGCGTGTACGTGCATGTGTGCTCATGTGTGTATGAGCGATTCAGGACAGGACAGTGATGGCCATCTAGATGATTGATGAAGATGAGATGGATGAAGAATAAATAGTACTTTTTTTATTAGCCCAGGGCCCCATTCTGCAGGTGGAATTAGAGGATGAATGATGTGCTGGCGGTGAAAGTATTCATATAGCATTAGTATTGATTTTTATTAGGATCCCTGTCTGCCCTGCCTAATCTCAGCTCTATTGACTTGTGGTACAGGCTAGTTCTCTGCCGGCTGGCTCTCCGTGATCCATGTTTGTGCTCCTCCTCTCCGGCCACCCCTCCCATGTAACTACGATAGCACTCCACTCAGGGTTGAGGCTTACTGTCATTTGTATCCTCAAAATAATATTCCTTTGTCTGTAGTTGCACTTTATACAGTATATTATTACGTATTGAGTCCATGTTTCAAATCATTATAAAAAGTGTGACCCTTCCTGATTTTTCATTTTGGAGGTTGGTCCTGTTCACATTACATTGTGTGTGGCATGAGAAAGCCTTTTTTCATCAACCATTACCCAACCGTAACTGGTGTGTTTTGGCTGAAAGGGGTAACCTTTACATAGATGTTCTTTCCTCTGACTCAAGGACACTTAAAGGATTCATTTTCCTTCCTTTTTTAACTAAGGGAGCAGCGCACGTGTGTGTGCGTGTGCATGCGTACGTGTGTGTGTGTGTGCATTTCGAAATCACTCTCCAACAACCTAGTAACACTATGATCGGCCAGTTCATAAAATCTTCTTAAGTCATACAAATCTTCATTAATTGACAATATTGCAGTAATAAATAACTATAATATATATTATTAATTGTTTTGAAGACACTATTTACGTTTATGATTCTTAAGAGGAAGAATGGATGAGCATCAGTGTCTCATTTAGGGTTAGAGTAGTAGACTGAACCAGACCAGGTTTAAAAGAAGCTATTATGGTGAGTCATTTGGATGATGACTACATGCCATTTCAGCTCAGAGACTGCCTCTGTCTGCCTGTCTGTCTGTCTGCCTGTCTGTCCGCCTGTCTTTCATATATCTATGTTGGGAGAGATTTAGAAGTAGACGCATAAACATATGTATCTGTGACATGCAGACAAGTCATTTTTTATTTTTAAAGCGTGTAATGTTGAAGACTCCCCCCGACTAATGACTGTCTGCTACTTGGCCCAAGAAAGAAAATACATGTTTAGCCTCAGCTGGAAGCTCTCTGGTGCCCTCTGCTGAATGTACTGCACTCATTGGTGCCCCATCTAAGGCCACTTTCAACACATTACACACACTCATTATGTTATTTTTGGCTGTATCAAATCTGTTCTCTCACCCCCCCCCCCCCCCCCCCCCCCCCCCCCCCCCCCCACCCCCCACCCCCAACACAGCCCAGGCGACAGCAGGACCCCAGCCCTGGCACCAACATGGGTAACAACGCTGATGATCACAAGATGCGCTAGAGGCCAGCAAGACGCATGGGGTGGGTCAGGGTGATCTGTCCATCGTACTATGCCAGTCTCACACCCTGACACCAAGCTGTTAACTGGAGAGACCAAAGTCCACATTGCTGGGGATTTGGGGGTGGGGTGGGGTGGGGTTCCTTTTAGTTTTAAGAAGGGGTGAGGTGGGTGTTCGTTTTAAAGTGTGGGGTAAGGGGATCGACCCAAACCTCCTTGTCTTCTGGGGGGTTTTGCACTATGTGATACATTCAGTTTAGTCCCCACATCGCCTTCTGTATGCATGGAGCACCTACCTATGTTTTCTTTTGTCCCCCTATGCAAACTATTTCGGAGGCACTTTCTTTACAATGGTTTATAAATAAGAAATGACTGGGTGATTATTTAACACATTTGTTCATAATAACTTATTTTCTAAATTGATATACTGTATTTCTAATAATTCCAAATGTCTGTTTCCATCTCCCTTATTATTTCCCAGAAGGTATGTATTCAAGGAGCACCTGAGGAGCACTGAGCATAAATTAATTTCACTCTAAATTCTAAGTGTATATTAATATTTATTGTGTCACCTTCCACCAGGTAGTTTGGAAGTAGGCCTACCATCAAGGACAAATAGTTGCCAATCAATCACCTATTTATTTTGTATTTATAAAGGACTGTAAAAGATTGCCTAAAAGCTATTTCTTATCCTATTATAGCACTATTTTAATGAAATTGTATTTTTTATTATTTTATTCATGTTTTGTCTGAAAGTCAGGATGTTTACTTTTTGTATTTCTTTTCTCTATATATACATACTGTATTTGTCAGTCTTTATGCTTTCGTATGGGATATAAGTAGAATATATAAAGTTGTGTTCTAGAAAAGTTAATTTTACAAAGAGGCGCTTTCTGTCTTCCTGTCTCCTCTTTAATGTTATTGTAACAGTCTTTGAACATGAGACTAGCAGCACAGACCACACAATGAGGTCAGTGCTGAGCTCGCTCTCTGTAAATTGAGGCAAATAGGCTTTCTCCTCTGCATTGTTTTTTTATTGTTTCTTTATTTCACGTTTCATCCAGATCAGGGTTTATAACGTCTAAGCAGTAACTTTCTCCCTGAAAATGATGCAAAGGCACAGCAACATTGTCTCACTAACATACCCAGCAGTTTTGTTTGGTATGTTTCAGGTTATCTGTATATCCTTGAGTTTGATCAATTATTTAGCTGTTTTCAGTGTTTCTTTCTCTTCCCCTACAGGAATAGTTGTAACGGTTTATTCATATAAAGTTGTCGGTCACACTTTATTTGGATAGTCCCATATAGATGATATACAGATGGTCATACGTTCAACAAACTATCTGATGATAAGCAATTGCTTGCTAAAGTTATGGTTAAGGTTAGGGTTAGGTTTAGAATTTAAAATAAGGGTAAGGGTTAGGGCTAGGGTTAGGGTTAGTGGATAGTTAGTTGAAATGTTGTTGACAGTTATTGAACATCTACGGAACATCTACAAACCAACTACTTGGGACTACCCAAATAAAGTGTTACCAAGTTGTTTGTACTGGAGATTAGCGAGAGCAACATCTTTAAAAGAGATAGAAGGCTTGCAATCCAACGCTGTTTCAACCAGTCATGAAATATTGGGAGGAAATAGGTCAAGAGTCAGTGAGGAGATAAAATAAGTATGATAAATCACAGAAATACATGCATGTATGTTATTCAGTTTGAACAGTGATGGGATTGTACAGTCTGGGGCTCAATATATGAAATTAAAGGAGAACGCTAAGGTCAAGTCTAGCAGCAGTAATGCACCAGTGGTTTTCTTCCAGTCAGTTCTAATGCATCAGCTCAGTATTTTATTCAAAGTTAATTTGCTTTAATTTGAATAAAGAGGAAAGGTGGAGGAAGTTGCCTACGTTTTGTAAAGGGATGAATGGTAGACAGCAAGTTGTAAGATGTGGATGTGCAGGTCAGAAATAATGGGGTTTAGTGGACAGTGGGAGAGGCAGGAGTTTGTCACACTTTGCTAGGGAATCAAGTTCTAATTTCATACTGCATGTGATTGTATTTCCTTGGATTAGGTCCTTAGGTTTTTATCCTAAATACTATGATATCACATACTTGCATAATGTTTTACATCCCACTAATGATGCAGTTATTTTGCATTTCTATCTCATTAAAACATTGTGTATGGTCTTAGTCTGTTGCTTTAGTGTATCAAAGATTTGCTCAGCGTGTAATTTGTCAAGTTAGCATACCAATGTAGCTAGCAGGAACTAACAGGTTTACGCTTCCTCCACAGTGATGTTTATGCAATGTGTACAGTATTTCACAATTTTCTGGGAGCTCTATTTCAAATGGTTTGTTTGATATCTACTCCAGTGTATAGATTACCTGATAAAAATGTCAGTGCTCTTGAATATAATTACAAAATGTATTGGACACTCAGAAACTAACTGGCCTACCTCCAGCTACAACCAAAAACAAATAGAAATATTGGGTATTTATTACTTATTATTTTGTGAACCTTTATTTCATTGAAATGTTGGTTAGATAGTACGATCTGTTTGCATGAGGTCAGGAATGTCCGAAAAACACTGCAGTTATGACAAATCCCAGCCTGGATTTCCAACATAATTGATGACAATACCTGGAGAATAGGCCCTCCTCTCGTCTTTCCCTTCATGTGTAGGCCTACTCCCCAGAGTCCCGGCTAGCTGGTACCCCTGTCTGAGCTTCACCCTTCACTTAATGCTGGCATTAAGGCAAGTTATACACCAGAGACTGTGTCCTAGTTTGCTCAAAAATTTTTTTAAATACATTGTTTATTTTCTTATTTGTTTTAAGTTATTGATACAGGTTTACCTTTGTTGTGTTCAGGTTACGCTACGAAGAACTGTGTATTTCTGTGTTTAATGGCCTACCTTTTAAGATTTTACTGAAGAATTTAGGTTTCTTTCTTTCTGTTTTATGGTTTAGCTTGTTTAGCTTGTTTTGTTAAGGGGAAACTTAAATCTGAAGTGTTGAATTTGACGTGTTTCATAATAAACTTGTAACAAGCCTTGTACTGGGTCTTGTGCCTTTTTTAATAATCACCATTGCCAGAAACACTCATTTATTACTGACTTTATGACTGACTATAATTTAAAGTCTGTCTGCCTCTCTTTGAGGTTATTTTGTCCTATGAATAATTACTATGGTCAACAAGTTGCTAGTCTCAGGTCTAGCCATTGCATTGTTTAGTCACGAGACTCTGAAGTTTGTAAACACATGAGATGGTAAACAGGACTCATCACCTGAGTCAGACACTCATTACAGGCAACCTTACAACCATGTACTACCAGCAAGCATGTTACCAGTGCACTACAGCTAGGCTACACCTGTATGCTCATTGAAGTGAAATAATAAGTATTTAAGTCAAATAGTTGAGTTTTATACTGTATCTGAATATTAATGAATAGTAATTAAATTGTAGCTTGGCCACAGAAAAGTTTTTGATTAGCATACAGTTTGATTCGAAATTATTAGTGTTAATTGCACTAATTATAGAAATGTGCAAACATAGACATGTTCACATAGATATTGTAGCCTATAATTTAAACATGGAAAAGGAAAAAAACATATTTTTAAGAATATTCTGCAGAACCTCCCAGTTGGTCAGCTGACCAGGAAGTGGCTGTTTACTTCACGACGCACAGGAAGTTGAATAATCAGCTGATAGTGGTGGTGTTTTGTTGGAAGTTGCGGTTGTTTATGAAGTGTTCTCTTCAATTCACGATAAAGACACAACAAACGAAAAACGGAATTCGATTGACATTGAGCTATTAGTGAGGTTATGAATATTAGCTAAGTGACTCACTGTTACAATTTAAATTAATAGCTAGCTAGATTGATATTAAATCCTCGGGAAGAAAGAAAACAGCAACGCAACGTCAGTCAACGGGTTTGAGACGTTCTTTGTTTTTGTTGTGTCAGACAGAAGTGCAGTATTTGGTTTCTTCTTTTTGAACATCGTTTTATATGTATTTATAATTGTGCGTGAATTTTGATTACAATAACTCTACAGGAGTGCTAGCTAGCATAGCTACAAATCGCCGAAAATTGTTGTCAAGCTGCTGAGTTGTCTAATCAGAAGCGAGACAGCAGAGCTGTTTAGATAGTGACGAGTGTGGAAAGATTTCAGACTAGCTAGCTAGTTGTGGTGTGATCGTCATTTGCACATCACTCAGTCAGCTCAACTGCGACCTGTTGGTAGAGTTTCATGTCAGCCACCAACCTGTAATTCTCAGTTAGCTTTGTTGCGCAATTCCTGTATGCTAACGTGTCAGCAAGGATCACTGGTCCAAAAGTATGGTAACAGTAGTGTGTCGTAACTAAGTTTTAGTGTCTTGGTCTCTGAAAAGGTGTAATTTGTCCCATTGTCAATATATTTCAGGTTGTTTTATGTCAACTCGTATTGTGTATGCCTATGAATTAAGTAGTATTTTATTGTGTTAATCGCTTAATGTTGTATAGAAACCGTGCAATTGAAAAGGAGTGATTAAGAAGAGAACGATCAGGCAGTCTAATATTAAAGAAAGGTCCAGTTCTGGCACAGGCACAGAACCTCGTTGAAAATCCTTCTCCCTACTTGCCAATGCTGGATCTGGAAGTTGTTCCTGAAAGATCTTTAGGACATGAGCAATGGGAATTCGCATTAGGTAAGTGAAGACAATAGGTTATTTGGTATTTCTTCAACCCAGGAGCACAACTTTGGTTTTAGAAGTCGGATAAACACTCCAAACAGCCTACCCGACCGCTCGGAGGCCTCTGCATGGTCCTAAAGCAAACCGTTGCCTCGTTTTGTATCACATTCCAATGATAAAACTGGGGGGGGACAAAAATGCAATTTCAGAATGTGGGGGGGACATGTCCCCCATTCCCAGTGAAAGTTGTGCCCCTGCTTCAACCTACCACACACCCTAAACTAATATTTCCCTGTCCATTATTTTTCTTGTTTGTAATTTGTAAATGAGGACTAAAGTTATCTCTAATCTTGTCCATCTTTTTGTCACAGGGATGCCATTGGCCCAGGCCATTTCCATTTTACAGAAACACTGTCGCATCATCAAGAATGTCCAGGTTCTCTACAGTGAACAAGTAAGAGATGAGATGACTGCTCTTGTATATGATGTAGGGTGTGGGCTGTCAGATTAATGTGACAGATTATTGATTGACTGTGCCCTGTAATTACATGTTAATGTTATCTTTCTGTGCTTCTAGACGCCACTCAGTCATGACCTCATACTCAACTTGACTCAGGATGGAATTAAACTGCTGTTTGATTCCTGTAACCAGAGACTGAAGGTGAGGGAGAGGTGCTCTGAAGGGTCATGACTTTAGACTTCATTCAGTAAAAACTGTATGTTGAACATTAATCACGTCTCTTGTTGCTGTAATGTTTAGGTGATTGAAGTATACGACTTGAGCAAAGTGAAATTGAAATACTGGTGAGTGATCATCTGTTCCTAGTGTGAATAACTGTGTGAGTCATAGCAAATGTATATGTGAGCATTGTGGGAATTTGTCTGACTGGAATTGTTTGTTTTACTTGGTGAGAATAGTTTGTTTCGCACATTGGTCAGCTTATGTTGGATATGGAACTTTGTGCTACTACATATACACTATATATACAAAAGCATATGGACACCCCTTCAAATTAGTTGATTCGGCTATTTCAGCCACACTCACTGCTGACGGGTGTTTTAAATCGAGCACACAGCCATGCAATCTCCATACACAAACATTGGCAGTAGAATGGCCTTACTGAAGAGCTCAGTGACTTTCAACGTGGCACCGTCATAGGATGCCACCTTTCCAATAAGTCAGTCTGTCAGATTTCTGCCCTGCTAGAGCTGCCCCAGTCAACTGTAAGTGCCGTTATTGTGAAGTGGAAATGTCTAGGAGCAAGAACGGCTCAGCCACGAAGTGGTAGGCCACACAAGCTCACAGAGTGGGACCGCCGAGTGCTGAAGCAAATAGTGCATAAAAATCATCGGTCCTCGGTTGCAACACTCACTACCGAGTTCCAAACTGCCTCTGGAAGCAAAGTCGGCACAATAACTGTTTGTCAGGAGCTTCATGAAATGGGTGTCAATGGCTGAGCAGCCGCACACAAGCCTAAGATCACCATGCGCAATGCCAAGCGTCGGCTGGAGTGGTGTAAAGCTCGCCGCCATTGGACTCTGGAGCAGTGGAAACGCGTTCTCTGTAGTGATGAATCATGCTTCACCATCTGGCAGTCTGACGGCCAAATCTGGATTTGGCGGATGCCAGGAGAACACTACCTACCCCAATATGCATAGTGCCAACTGTAAAGTTTGGTGGAGGAGGAATAATGGTCTGGGGCAGTTTTTCATGGTTCAGGCTAGGGCCCTTAGTTCCAGTGAAGGGAAATCTTAATGCTACAGCATACAGTGACATTCTAGATGATTCTGTGCTTCCAACTTTGTGGCAACAGTTTGGGGAAGGCCCTTTCCTGTTTCAGCATGACAATGCCCCCGTGCACAAAGCAAGGTCCATGCAAAAATGGTTTGTCGAGATCGGTGTGGAAGAACTTGACTGGCCTGCACAGAGCCCTGACCTCAACCCCATCGAACACCTTTGGGATGAATTGGAATGCCGACTGCGGGCCTAATCATCCAACATCAGTGCCCGACCTCACTAATGCTCTTGTGGCTGAATGGAAGCAAGTCCCAGCAGCAATGTTCCAACATCTAGTGGAAAGCCTTCCGAGAAGAGTGGAGGCTGTTATAGCAGCAAAGGTGGGACGAACTCCATATTAATGCCCATGATTTTGGAATGAGATGTTCGACAAGCAGGTGTCCACATACTTTTGGTCATGTACTGTACTGTAATAGTATCTAAGCCTAAATGGTGTCATTGTCTTGCAGTGGAGTACATTTCAACACTCAGGCTATAGCACCCACTATAGAGCAGATTGATCAGTCCTTTGGCGCCACACACCCTGGAGGTAAGGGAAAGACACTCTTCTCACCAATCAGCAGATACAACTTTGTTTCTTATTGATAATATTGTAGAATGCTGCAAGGTAGGCTAGTTGTGTTTGACCATGTTTTCCTCACTCCACAGTATACAATGCTGCAGAGCAACTGTTCCACTTGAACTTTCGGGGTCTCTCCTTCTCCTTCCAGCTTGACTCATGGAATGAAGCTCCCAAGTATGAGGTGAGACTATTACCTGTCCCTGCTATATTTATCCCTAGTATGCTGTTTTTATCTGACAGGCTTTAGAATTGCCTTATAAACCATGTTTGACATACAGTAGCTGCCACACTGCAAATGTATTCCATAACTTGCTCTTCTTGTTGTACCCTTAGTATTTTTTTCTAATTTACTTTACCTGGCTGACAACCCCTAATAGACCTTGTTTACCAGATAAAGTACTAGTCTTTTTGGCTTAGATTATTTGTTAGATAATGAAAACCCCTGTGCCTCATTTTGACCCCATGGGAATTAACAAACTAATTGCTTCATTACCAATAGAGCTGTGTGATGCATGAGTATTTGGTTTTTAAGCATTTGATAATGCTGGAAATACAAAACAAATCGGCCTAAAAAGGGCTCAGTATGTATGTTTTTGTGAAAATACATTGTTAAAGTATAAAGCTGTTGATGTGAGTACTTGTGTCTCTATATGTTGAATGTGAGCTGTTGAAATGCACATGCCAATCTACTCCCAGTTGTTTTGCTTTGACAGCCTAACTTTGCCCATGGCTTGGCCTCCCTGCAGATTCCGCATGGGGCCACAGTGAAACGGATGTACATCTATACTGGGAACAACCTACAGGACACCAAGTAAGAACACAATGTATTCACAAGCACACCTGGAATAATGGTTGAGCATGACAAGTTTATGGGGAGATGGAGGAAGCAGGTGGGGTATAGGGTGAAGGGGAAGGTACTGTGTGTTTGGTGAGTTTATTTACCCCAATGGAAATGCTTCTACTAACACCACCTTCTCCCTTGAATATGGTTAGGTTTAAAGGTATTGCGAGATATGTGATCTTGGATTGCAGAAAAAAAAACATGAATTTGTAATGACCTGACTGTGATTCACTCTGTCGCTCCTCAGGGCTCCAGTGATGCCCCTTGCCTGTTTCCTTGGCAACGTGTATGCAGAGTGTGTGGACGTGCTGAAGAATGGTGCGGGACCACTTGGTCTGAGACTTCGCCTCCTCACTGCAGGTACTTAGCAAAGGGACATCTCAACCCACTCATGTCTGAGTACAACACCATCAGAACTGTGGAATTCTAGCTAAATCTGTTCAGGTTAATATTCATTTTGAGGCATTCTGAGCACATGCCACTGACGGGAACTGGAGGATGTAGGTATTCTCTTCCTGTAGATCAATCCATCCACGATTCTAATTGGATCAGGCTACTCTTCTCTTCCTTCCTTTTATGAATTCCTTCCTCCAGCTCTGTTGTTAGGACTGTAATAGAGCCTCCTGGTCTGTAGCTACAGAATAGTGCTTTCCTGCCAGTCCCTCAGTTCCATCACGTTCCATGCTCTCTCCAGTCCATATGTAAAGCCCTGCTGATCTCATCACCAGACATCACCTCTGACAGGCCCCACCCCTGGGGAGGCTGAGCTAAACAAATAACCTACATGAGGAGCCACGTACACTATGTAGTTTGTACACTACGCCCTTTAGGAGATGGGGAAGAGGGCTGTCAAAATATGCAAGTCAGCTGAGAGTCTTCTTGGAATCCCTCATCCAGTGTTTAGACATGTCTCTTTTGACCAGCTGTTTTTGTTGTCTCTGGTTTGTTGTATTATATACATTCATAGTAAATGAAGATGTGCTCCAACAGTTTTGCAACATCAGGTCATATTAAGCTTGGATAATGAGTGTACATGTGTCCTGTTTTCAGGCTGTGGGCCAGGGGTGATGGCTGATGCCAAGGTGCGTGCTGTGGAGAGGAACATCTACTTTGGAGACTCCTGTCAAGATGTGCTGAGTGCTCTGGGCTCGCCACACAAGGTCTTCTACAAGTCTGAGGACAAGGTATGGCCCTTAACTCTCCTCCCTGTCTCCCCCTTTCCCTCTTTTACCCTCACCCCCTTTTCTCAGGCTTGACTTGCTGCTCTCAGTTGATATGACCCTCTCTATGTTTATAAACAAGCTCTCTTCATGTTTTGGTTTCCTGTTTCAGATGAAGATCCACTCTCCGTCACCTCACAAGCAGGTCCCATCCAAATGCAATGACTACTTCTTCAACTACTTCACCCTGGGGGTGGTAGGTATTGGTGTTATGTGGGGGGTGGGTAAAGAGAGGGCTTGTCTTTTTTTATGTTGACATTAAAGCTCAATGTACAGTTTTGACCTCTGTTTGATTGTTCCCTCTTCGTGTCGTTCCAGGACATACTCTTTGATTCCACCACACACCTGGTGAAGAAGTTTGTCCTTCACACCAACTTCCCTGGTCATTACAATTTCAACATGTAAGTCTCTCTGCCTCAGTTAAGACTGGCACCTTATTTGCCCTTGGCTCAAATATACAATTTTCAGACATGATTCATTTGAATTAATTATTTGCGGTAGAGCCATAAGAGGCTATTAACTCTTTAGTGGTTAATTAATGTAGTCGCAGGACTGCTGTGCACTACACTCAGTAACATGTAACTATCTCTCTCAACACTAGATATCATCGATGCGATTTCAAGATTCCACTTGTCATCAAGAAAGGTGAGTTTCTAATCAGCTTTTGTATTGTATTTCCTGAGGTTTTTGGTGCTCCTTTTGAACTCTGCCTGTCTCCTCTCTGACCTCTGTCAAGTCTCATCATGTATCCATGTCTGTGTCTTTCAGAAGCTGCCGATGCTCAGTGGGAGGACTGCATCCTCACTACCTACAGCAAGGTCAGACATGCCTACACTGCTCAGTCTTTGCCTACCTGAATGTTTTCCTACAACATAAATAACATTGATAAAGAGTTGTGAAAAACACCACACAAGCAACTATGTTTTAACTTTATAGCTATCTGTGACTTCAGAGAAGGTTTGTGTTCTCCTGATTGACTAGGGTTGTGTCTCCCTTAGTGGGATCAGATTCAGGAGCTTCTTGGACACCCCATGGAGAAGCCTGTCGTGCTCCACAGGTAAGAGATGCCTGATTTAGAATTTACATGACTACATTCCGACCTAAATGTTTTCAATGGACAACTGACTGCTGGCCCTGCAGTTATCAAAAAGGTGTTCATGTTTTCTGTTTCACAGGTCATCCTCAGCAAATAATACCAATCCCTTCGGCTCTACGTTCTGTTTTGGACTACAGCGAATGATCTTTGAGGTAAGAACTTGGTGTGTGTCATGAGTGATGATGGTATTAGGTTGAGTAGAACAAAGCCCTGTATGTAAACTATGTGTCCTAACTGTGCTAACTTGTCGTCCCAGGTGATGCAGAACAACCACATAGCTTCAGTGACTCTGTACGGCGCCCCCAGACCCATCAGCCGGGCCCGAGCCGAGGCCAGCGCCCACTGAACAGCGTCCTACTGCCAACCCAGGCACAGCCTGAGGGCTGTCTCTCCCCTCCTCCATTCCACGCCACAGCATCCCTAGGCTGATCAGAGCAGTGTACTCTGTCTCACTCAATCTCTCACCCACTGCCATGTTCACACCAGAGAGGAGCTCCTCTGGACCCATCTGCCCCTCTGTGACGGGCACATCATCCAGAGCCCTGCTAGGAGCCTTACGGCAGCCTTCATCCCACCCCCCTCCCCTCTCTGACTCACCCTGTCCCAATGGTCTTCATCATCAGAACACTCGTTAGCCATCGTTAGATGTGTTGGCGGTGTTTCATCAATGCACATTTGTATGCCGGCGTGCACAAACACATGCTCACCTGCATACACAAATGAGCACCTGCGTGCATACTGCAGTTTTTAAATTGACTTAATACATGCTTGACATACACACATATATAAGAAACAGATACCAAAAGCCTGACACACACAGACACCAAAAGCATTTCAATCCTTTCTCCACTATATGTTCATGTTACCGATTAAAACACATGCATATGGATGCAGGCTCATCTCATATCTGCAGCACTAACAATTGCATAACAAGTACACCATTACATACATACACAGACAGTTACAGAAACAAACATGAATGCACATAGACATAAACCCATGCATGCACACAGACACACAATTAAGAGGGGTAAAAGATGAAAAGCACAAACTGGCCTCACTGTGGAGTGGCCTAGTGCTCTGCATGCTTTGATGGGAACTTTCTTGGCACATGATCAAACACAGACACACGCATACTGGTCCACATACACCACACACAAATTCATACACTCATGCCATGAACAAGTCCACAGCATAAGTCACCTCCTATTGCAAGGCTGTGAAGCACTAACTGCATTTGTAGTTTGTTTTGTGTTTTTTTGCAAGGAACGATGGGAACATTGGTTTTAACATTTGCACTAAGATACACCCTATTTACTTGATTATTGTCTCCTATCCAATTAAGATGATTGTGTATTTTATTTCTATTAGTGATGACAGAGGAAAGGCTCCAGCTCCTCTATCCCATGACTGACTTCCTTCCTTCCCTTCCACATGTACACTATCCCCTCCACTGTCCACTGCTACCACTGTCCTTTACAGCCTTCCTCCCAATGCTCATGATTACTCTCTTTCTCTATTTCCCCCTCCTCTCTATCTCCCTTTCTCTTCACAAGAGATACCTAAATGAATCCCTCAGATGTACTTCATCATTGCTCTTTCTTAATTTTAAAAAAGTGTTAAATTGCCAAAATTGTAGCCAAAGATGGTTCAGCATGTTTTAAGTTATCCAAACATTTTAGTTTGTCAAAACTTGACCTTTTGCCCAAAGAGCAGACATTCCCTCCTAAACAATATATATATTTTATTGCAGACCCCTGACCCATAATCTTAAGTACTTCTTGAGTATATAATCTTTATTATTTGTGCTTTTTAATGCAGATATTTTATTATTCCGTTTTTACTCTACTGAGACTTCTCCCTATTTGTAGCAGGTAGATTTGGGACTATGTGCAGCAGCAGTCTCTTTTGGTGTTTGTACAGATTTGTAAATAGTGTGCTCTTTTCTTTTGTCATTTTAAGCTAATGGTACAGTGTGGGCCTGAATTGTTTTAAGGTCAGAGCACACTCCAGATGTGACACTTGTATTACTTAGGAATTCTGTTTGATGTCTCTCTCCCCCTAGTGGAGAGAACAGTGGCACTCCTAAGCTCTGGGCCTGGAGGGTTCATTCATCTCTCTAGCTCAGCTTTAACCACTATTAGTACTAGAGACAGATGCTGAAGATGGGATAAAGCAGAGACAAAGAGGGGTTACTGTTGGATAGGGAAGGGAGCCCTGTACAGCCTATGATGTTTAGAACACCAGGATGTGTGTGTGGTCAGTAGCCCTGTTACAGTGGGTTGATAATGTACTGGTGCTAGATCAGAGGTGTGACTGAAGCTCATAAGTGTGTGTCCTCCTCCCATCTTGTGTATCTACATGCCATCATGTCAGCCCAGCCCTCCAGGCCTCAGCTTTACAGCGCTTATTACATGGGCATTGTTCATTTTGTTACATTGACTTGTTTCATGAGTTGCGATGAAAAAAGACTGTACTGTTGTTTTAATTTTATCCCTTGCTTTGTGCAAGTTGTATAAGAAAAGAAAAAGCTAAAATGGCTTATTAACGTTGTGCCTCATCTCCCACCAAGCCTGTCTTGACTTCGCTCTGTAAATTAAACTAGGCTATTGAACTGCATTGTGTATGACTGAGCATGAAAAGTTAACATGGTCGGCTGACTGTCACCCATAGTCATCATTGTCCTGTTGCTCCAGAAAACATAACAATAAGGAGTAGATTAAAGACTTGGGGCACTATTCAATCTGTATCGCTGAAGTGTTACAGCTTGCACGATATAAATGTAAAGGTAATTCATTTTCAATTATGCTGTAACTCAACTTCCTCGATATGGATTGAATAGAGCCCTTGTCATAGAGGTCCTGAGCTCAGTCATGAAGGGCATCACTATCATCCTCATCACATATCCCCTGGTATTCTGATTTGGAAGATTTGCACAGTACACAATACATTGTTTTGTCTTATGTTCTCATTGCTGGACAGAGAAACGTATATCACTCTGAACATCTCACAGCAAGACAATGGTTATAACATCAGTTTGAGCACCCACAGGCCAGCCCTTCATGACCTGAGATGGATACACACACTGGTTGTGTTGGAATTCAAATACAATGCACACTCAGCCTTCAGCGAGAAAACAAATGCAACACAACCAATGTTGTGGTGATGTTTCTGGAATGTTACTGCTGAGAGTGAGTAGCTAGTGTGCTGGGCTGTGCTTGCCCAATCTCAGGTGGACATATCAGATATTTTTTTAATGCCAGGAGCAAGTAAATGCTTAATTTTCATCAGTTGGTTTTAGCTATTTTATTTCCTCTTGAGTAGATCCTATTTTTGCATTGGAATGAATGAATGGTTGTCCTTAAGATTGTAATTAGAAATGGACAACTTCAGTTCAGTGTAATACTCATACTAATTATATGTATTGTCTCCCTTTATATTGTGTGTTATCCTCCTCCCCCAAAGTAATACTTTTTGGTGGATTCAGTACATTTAACCCATTTCTGGAAATGGGAATTATCCTTAATTAAACGTGTGAATCAAATTCATTGGAATGTGGTGTTTTATATTTTGGATACCTTTACTTCTGTACAATAAAGACATGTAGATCAACATTATCAAGCATGTCATAGAAAGCAATAACCATAACTGTGGTGAATCAGAATGGTCTGCTTAAAGCTTGCACAATGCTTCCGACTGAAACGATGCAAGGTTGCTGTGATAAGTTTAGATGAGCTCCTCATTAAATCTACTGAAACTCAACATTTATAATTTTATAACACTGCTCATTCTGAATTCTGTTAATAAATAAAAAATCCTGTTACCGTGTGTACAAAAAGGATATGAAAAAATGGATGTAATAAATATGACCAAAAAAAGTATTGTTTTATTTATTAATTAAGAACAATACATTTGTGTTAACTGATTGCTTTCCATTTTGATATCAACAGCATGTAGTGTAAAGAAGGCATTTGGACTACAGTTGGAGGTATAGCTGAACATACAAGTTGAAAAAGAAACAGCATGTATTATATCTGATTATCAGAAGTATTGTAAATGATAGCACACCACCCACCCATCTTAACTGTTCAGGCTTTATTTACTCTGACCTTTGGTTTGTTGCTTGGTGATTGTCGTCTTCAGTGTATCTGTGAACTAAAAAAGTAGGTGCTGTGCACATAACATTCATGAAGGTGTAAACTGTTTCTTTATATAACGGTTTATACCTCTGCTGGAACGTTTCTAGGAAAGTTCCCCCAGAGTGTGGAACTATGTAATGAGGTCCCTTGGGGACTTCCTGCCACAGCTACAGTTGATGCATTGAGCTTTGCTGGTTATACATCCAGGAAGTTTATGAAGAAAAAGGTAACAGGATTTTTTTTTTTCTTAGAAAAAGGGTACATTTATCATGGCTGTAAACTTTTAAGCAAAAACCACTGAATTGCCTAAAAATAACTGTACCAAACATTCATTCACAGCTTCCATATCCCAATGGCTTTCACAGTGTAGTCCCTCTGATCAACATAACACAAACCCCTCAATGCTTTACAAACACTTTAACATCATAGTCCTGTTCCACTGTAGTCTTTGAGTCCTTCTGTCCTGTTGTCCCGAGTACCTTGCCCCTCCACTTGAAGGGCCACAGGGTGGGGGCCAGTTTACTGTGACAGCTCAGTTGGGGGTCATGCAGCAGGTTCCACATGAGCCAGATCTGTGGCACTGTCAGGCTGTGTACCACCATCAGCTCCCTGTAGAAACAAGGGTCAAACACCTGGAGGTGGGGAGCAGCAGAGGGGCGCACAATGCCAAATGTACGAAAACCCTCATGGTGTGACGGTTTCACTCCAATTCTCTGTAAGCACATACCTAAGAACACATCGTCAATGGGGAATAGTTCTACCTGCTGACACGCTCCACTCAGCCGCCTGGCGGTGTGACCAGACATCACAAAGCCTCCCCCTCCTGCATATGACGGATACATAGTCTGGCCGTACACAAACTCAGGCACAAAGTACTTGCTGCTGCGCCGGCGGATGGGGTGGGCATGGTGGATGATGTCACCCACAAAGAGGTCCTTATCAGGCTTCTGACCCTTCAGCATCTCCAGAATGTTCTCTATATTTACATAGACATCAGCGTCACCTTTGAAGATGAACTGGACATTGGAGCAGCTGTCATTCACCCACTGGAGGAAGTGGGTCTCTTTAAGTGTCAAGTTGAAAAATGAGTCATCAAAGTCCCAGAGGAGAATGTCCCCAAAGGTGTGGCTCTCGTAGGCAAGGAGCCGGTCCCATAAAGGCAGGGTGGACTTGTTCCTGGGTACACCAAGGAGGAATACAGTCTTTACTGTCTGCCCATCCTGGAACACACCCTCTCTTCCCCAGGTGCGCCGCACTACCTGCCTCCTTTCAAAGTCTGCCACTACTGACTTGATAGCAATGAGCATGTAGAGCTCGCCTGAGCACTTCCCTGGCTGGTCCATCAGCAGTTTGAAGTCCCGGTTGTCCTTATCCCTCAGGTAACCCTCAAAGTCAAAAGGAGGTTGTGTGGGTAAAACCAGAACAGCCTTTGTCCCCTCATCTTTCTTTGACTTGGATTTAGATTTGGTCTTGGCCTGAGGTTTGGATTTAGACTGAAGTTTGGACTTGGGATGTGTCTGAGACTTAGAATGGGACTGAGGCGCAGACTGGCACTTTGTCTTGTCTGGGGGCGTAGAAGGGACCCGTTTAGTTACATGGCTCTCTGGTGGGGCCCCTAAAAGAGCGCGGGAGCTTGTACAGCCCTGCTCTAAGTGCCAGGTGTCCCAGGTGGAAGTGAAGCCTTGGTGGGCATACAACATCAGACAGAGTAGCCCCAGCATGAGCAGTGTGCACAGAACATCTCCTTTTATATGAATTCTCCTCATTGTGTCCCACTGAACCTATTTCCCTCTGATGTCTACAAAGGCTGATTTTATTTACCACTCTTTTCCCATATATCTTTATTTTCCTCTCCCTCAGGATCTCAGAGATCAGAAAGCGCCACACAGCATCCTGTGAGGATTTCACAATACTGATCATCCATGCGGAGGTTTTATGGATTATTTCCAACCGGATTGTTTCCATTCACTGAGTCAACATAATGACAGGGAACAGTTAGGACCCTGAGGTCCTGCCTGATTATTCTCCGTAACCCAACACTCTGCAGTCTTGATGTTTCTCCTCCAGTATCTGAGGGGTTTTCCCTTTATTCCATGACACACATTCCATCCCATCTCATCAGCAGGCTGTGCTCCTAGATATGAAGATAAATCACATGAGAATTAAACATGCAAGGAAAGGAACAAAAATATATTTTACAAAAGTACATTTCATATTTAACTTTTTATATTTATATTTACAGTTACTTACTTTGTATAATTTGTTTCCTGTTTTTCTTTTAAGTTATTATAAAAAAAATATCTCAGGCTTTATACCGTGATATCTGCAGTTGCAATCGTTCAAACGCATTTCCCCAAGTTCCCAGAACTATTTGCAAGAACGTTCTTCATCAATCTACGGTTTCCCAATTGCGATTGAATTTAGGCTTACGAGTGTTTTAATGATGCATCTTTTGTACAACAGCCAAAGCTGTAACATGCGTTTCCCAAAACACCATGCAGAGAGAACATTCACTAACTGTGTATTTGAGGCATATGTCGATACTGATATGCTCGAAAGAAAGGCAGCTCTGCTCTCGGTTCAGCATTCTGCCTTTCAAATCATACCTTAACATTAGAATTATTCCACAATACTGACGGCAGATCAGCTCCTAGAGAGATATCACCTATGGCTACAAATATTGAGGCGGCTTATTGTAATGCTTACCCTATTATAATGCACTAAATCAAGATTTGCCACATCATTGCGCACATGTTCCACATCATGAAATATATTGAGGCAAAAATTACACAGTAGCATACAAATAGCTAAATAAAACTACATTGAATAAACATGAAATTGACTTTAATATAATTGAAATACTGTATATTGGTATATGTAGCCTATAGCCTACTGTATTCTAATACAGTCACTTCTGTTTTCATTTAATCATATTTTTATACTTCGCTTCTTAGTAACAATTGCAAAGAAATTGGCAACTTTGTATTTGTAGTCAAAGTCGTTCTGAAGTTATCGGTGGTCACAGAAAGACAGATAAACATCTGGATTTTGTTTAACGGAGGTCTTCTGTGTATAAAGGGAGGCGGAAGGGCAAAAAAAGCATCTAACAGATGACACATTTACGCTTATAACACACCGACTGTGTCTGCGTTTTGGTACACCAGAAGTACATTCATTTCCAATGGAACGCTGCGTTTGTCTTGCAGCATTGCGTTGCAGAGGCAGTTGCAGTGCGTTCTGTGTGGTGCATATGTTGGATTTATCGAATGTATGCGTCAAACTGTATGCGTAAAGGGGTTCACAGAAATGGTAGCAGAAAGTGAATGTTGAACTTTTGTTGCACACATATCTAGATGATGCTGCATCTATTTTGTGCAATGATGAAGTCGGTGTGTTCAAAGCCTTACTCTTGGAACACATTGACTGTTTTGTTGTGTTTTGGTACACCACAAGTACATTAATTTCCAATTGAACGCTGCGTTTGCCTTGCAGCATTGCGTTGCAGAGGCAGTTGCAGTGCGTTCTGTGTTGTGCATACATTGGTTGTTCTGTATGGTGCATACATTGGATTTATCAAACGTATGCGTCAAACTGTATGTGTAAAGGGGTTGAAATCCAATGTATGCACCACACAGAACGAACTACCTCTGCAACGCAATGCTGCAAGGCAAACGCAGTGTTCCATTGGAAATGAATGTACTTCTGGTGTACCAAAACGCAATGACGCAGTCGTTAAATAACGAGCGTTTTCAAGAGCAACTTTACTGAGGGATGGTTTTGGGAAACAGATTTGACCATGCTCTACGATTAACTTAGCCTTAAAATGCGTTTGGGAAACCGGCCCCAGACCATCTCCCAGTTGTCTAGCATTCAAATGACACCTCAGAAGAAGCAATGGAAAAACGTGATTCCCTAAAAACATGCCACTTTCGATACAGCTACCACCGGAAGTGGCTTTTTCTTAGCAGGTTGGGAGAATTTATGAAGATGGTTAGGAGAAAAACGTAGCAGGTTAGGATAATTAGATTAAGGTTAGGAAAGGGGGTAAATGTATGGTTAGATAAAACGCTCTCCTAACCTGCTACAAAAAGTCACTTCCGTAGCTGTACTCCATCGAAGTGGCGTGTTTTTAGGGAGTCACTGTAAAAAAACATACCAAAATGTTCCAAAACATTTTGAAGAATGACTTCATTGACACCATTTAGGACCTAGCCCCAAATTTGGTAAATTCGCTATAGGAGGGGGGCGTGTCGGATCTGATGTTAAACTGTACATAAGATTCCTAAATAGAAAAGCATGTCCTGTGTCCAGTAGAACATAGTGTTCCTAACGTAATGTTCATATTCATCTCCTTCATAAATATAACTATTGGTTAACCATGCAGTTTATAACTTGCAAAAATGCATCTTTAACAAAACAAAACATATTTTTCGTCAGCAAAACTGACATACGTGCGTTTACCCTCAAAGGAATAACTGTTTCATATATATATCCTACCATGACGCATTACATTTACATGTAATTGCCAGACTGTTGCATATTTGCATTTCACAGGGAGCCCTATATTGAATAACAGCGTTTGTATTGTAATCAGTATGTGTACAAAGTATCCTGCGCATCAGTCATCATACTTACCACGACAGATTAAAATCACCAAAGCAATTATATAGCGCCACTGCCAAACCCGGCAACATCTGGTTTCTGTATGAAATCTGCAGTCTCAGACTGTAGGCAAGCTGGGGTCCAACCTGGGTCCAACAAAAATGAAGATTAAAATTGAGAGAAAAACACATTAAATTAATACAGACCTACTTGGTTTGGAGGCTCAGTAAGGAAGAGTTAACTTTAGGAGAAATGTGCAAAACTGTCAAGACACCGTTTTAACGGTGTTCTTTTCACTGGCCATGTGACAAGTGTGGGAGTCGCTGGTCCAGCAGTGCTCCAGATGCCAGCGCAGCAACCGGAGACAGACTCCAAGAATTTGGAGGAAGGTGAAGGGAGCATAATGATGAGGACCTAGCAGACTTATTTGTCTGACAATGTACTTTTATCGTGGTGATTGATGTCCTTGCAATATGGCACCATATGTTCTTCTAGCCCCTAGCTGTCTTAAATGGCTGTAATTTAGGAGCTGGACTCACTTAGCATGGTAAGACAGACATGGAATACATTTATTTAACCAACAAGACTTGAATACAAATACTACAAAGAAAAACTCATAACACAGAAATATTAAGTTATAAGACACAGTAATTTAATTGAGTTTATTTCTGCACACACACATAATAAAGTTCCCTGTCTATTTACAATCTACAAAAAGTAAACATGTATCTCACTCTGCTGGTCCCATTTAACATTCATGGAGTATAGTTCTTTGGCTACAAAACAACATCTACAAGTTGACAGTTACTCCCACCCACTGACTCCTCTAAAACATCACTGCTGCCCAATGGCACCTGGGGCTGCAGGTGTGGCCTGTTCCTTCTTCTGGCCTTGCCACTAGAGAACTAGTCTTTCTTCACTCTTGTAAACGCCTCCTCCCCTTGCTCCCCCCAGGCTGCCCTCTCAGGGATTCCAATCCCTTCAGGATTTCAGGCAACCACAGTGGGGTGCCCTCAGGAAGAGGCTGTGCCTGCTCTCATGATCTTGAACAGGGCATTGACATTGTTGTTTTTGATAGCATCTCGGCAGGCTGTGATAACCTGATTCTTTGGCTTTCCCACTGAGAGAGACAGAGGAAGAGAGGTTAGCAGAGAACTGAAACCTTAAAAAAAACACATTAAATTATCTTCAAATGCTATGCTTCATTGATCTCCCTGTCAACCCCTACTCACCTCTCAGTCTCCCTGCCCTCTGAATGGCCTGGTTGACAGACTTAAGGCAGGCGAGGAGAGCATTGTGATTGTTGGATCGGATCTTATACTCATTGATCAGGTCTCTGTTCAGGTCATAGAGCTCAATGTAGCGCTTCTTCATGTTCCTTCTGTCAGGTACAAAGAAAGATGAAGGGATGAAAAGAAACAGGTCATTATCACCTTTAATCCTACAGAACAATCATGGAGGTGGTGGTTGGTGTGATGTCACTCACATGTCACCCATGAGCCGTGCGTCCTCTGCCTGCACCAGCATGTTGCGGATGTGATTAGAATGATCTGCTATGGCCGCCGTCAGCTTTTGGTGGACAGAGTGATAGTCATCTACCTGTTAAAACAATAGATTACAAAAATATTTTAGGCCTACCACACAAAATAATGAGAGAAATGGTTGGTAATGAGATAAATACTATTGGTGTGGAGGCTGAGGTGGGGAGTTTACCTCAGTTAGGGTCGTTCGCAGCTCCCCAAAGTATGTGGGGAAGTCTGCCTCTGCCTGTAGGTCCTCTATGGCCAGGAAGGAGGCCAGTGATTGGACTAGATCCCCTGCCAGGTCTATGTCGTCTGTGTTTAGTGTGATCTGATTGGAAAGAAAAGGCAAGGTGAAGGGTCCATTTTGAAATACTAGAGATATCCTGTGCACAGCGATATGTGTTAGGACATGTAGACATACCTCTCCACTGGTGCTTAGCATGCTGATGGTGAGTAGTCCCCTGGCACGCAGAGAGGTGAACGTCACATCTGGGGTATCAATGCCCTCCAGTAGAAGGAAGTTCTGGTTCAGCCACATGACCACCTAAAGACAGAGAATACAGCCATCCGATAGTAACAGTAACATTACTATGGAACAGAATGCCAGACGTGCACTCTGGAAGTGTCTCCACAGGAGCATGTGACAGGATATGAAAGTGTGTGTGTGTGTAAGAGTAAGTGAGAGAGAGCGATAGTTTGTGCTTACTCTCTGTGGCCTGTCATTGATGGTGAAGGTAACTTTCCCAGTAGGTTGGGGGGCCTCAGGATCAACATTAAGATCATACATGGAGAAGCGAGGCAGCTGACGTGTGATCTCAAAGACGTGGAACTGACTGCTGCAGGGAAGGGAACAGAAGAAGCACGTTCAAATGACAAAATAATGTTTTCTTTGTTTTATTGGACAGAGCTAAAGTTCCACTGAAACTACAAAGTTTGGATAATAAAGTGAATTTCATTGGCAAATTAATACATTAACACATCTATGCAGAGGACTCCGCTATGTCTCTTTCATAATTGACATATGTGTACCTGCTCTTGCCGCCAACAAAAGCTTTGATGTGTAGATCCACAGGGATATCTTTGGGAGGAATAATGGGAACATGGATAGAACCAGACAGATTCTGGGCATTGGGGTGTACCACATGACTTTCACCCTCAAAAATTCCCTCAGCGAAAATCAGCACGGCTCGAATGATGGTCTCTGTAGAGGGAATGCCAAGAGGTCAGCACCCAGCCCACTCACTTACCACAGTAAGCCACATCAAATCAAATCAAATGTTATTGGTCGCATACACATATTTAGAAGATGTTATTGCAGGTGTAGCGAAATGCTTGTGTTCCTAGCTCCAACAGTGCAGTAATACATACATGAGGCTGCGCATTCTGGAATTACAGGATGGTGAGAGTCATTGGGTTCAATGTGGGACAGGCTGAGGTTTGGTCAGCTTGGTGAGTTTCTGTGTGGTTTTAGGGCTGTGTAAGTGAGCTGCTTACTGGGTTTTGATGACAGTGTGAGTCTAGGGCGTGAGTGTGTTAGTGGTCCGTAAGGAGGGTATCTGTGTGGGGTGATGGTCTTTACCATTGGGCGTGGAGATGCTGAGCTCTATGTGTGACCTCTGGGACTCCGTGGCAGCTCTGACAGAGAGGGCAGTCTGGAGCTGGGTATTGGCTGGTATCACCCCCATCTGGGTGTCCCTTTCTGAAGCTCCTGGGACAGCCTGCTACAGAGACACAGTCACACAGAGGTATTTTCCACTATGACACAAACACCATGAGTGTGTAGGTCTGTACATAGTTAGAGGTGGGAGTGAGAGGATCGTAGTGTTCTCCTCACAGCACAGTAACTGATAAGTCTGAGAAAGTTTGTCTTTGAATGTTGGTCTGGGATGTGGGTGTATGTTTGTACAGTTGAAGTCGGAAGTTTACATACACTTAGGTTGGAGTCATTAAAACTCGTTTTTCAACCACTCCACAAAATTCTTGTTAACAAACTATAGTTTTGGCAAGTCGGTTAGGACATCTACTTTGTGCATGACACAAGTAATTTTCCAACAATTGTTTACAGACAGATTATTTCACTTATAATTCACTGTATCACAATTCCAGTGGGTCAGAAGTTTACATACAATAAGTTGACTGTGCCTTTAAACAGCTTATAAAATTCCAGAAAATGATGTCATGGCTTTAGAAGCTTCTGATAGGCTAATTGACATCATTTGAGTCAATTGGAGGTGTACCTGTGGATGTATTTCAAGGCCTACCTTCAAACTCAGTGCCTCTTTGCTTGACATCATGGAAAATCAAAAGAAATCAGCCAAGACCTCAGAAAAAAAATTATAGACCGCCACAAGTCTGGTTCATCCTTGGGAGCAATTTCCAAACGCCTGAAGGTACCACGTTCATCTGTACAAACAATAGTACGCAAGTATAAACACCATGGGACCACGCAGCCGTCATACCGCTCAGGAAGGAGACACATTCTGTCTCCTAGAGATGAATGTATTTTGGTGCGAAAAGTGCAAATCAATCCCAGAACAACAGCAAAGGACCTTGTGCTGGAGGAAACAGGTACAAACGTATCTATATCCACAGTAAAACGAGTCATATATCGACATAACCTGAAAGGCCGCTCAGTAAGGAAGAAGCCACTGCTCCAAAACCGCCATAAAAAAGCCACACTACGGTTTGCAACTGCACATGGGGACAAAGATCGTACTTTTTGGAGAAATATCCTCTGGTCTGATGAAACAAAAATAGAACTGTTTGGCCATAATTACCATCGTTATGTTTTGAGGAAAAAGGGGGACTTGCAAGCCGAAGAACACCATCCCAACCGTGAAGCGCGGGGGTGGCAGCATCATGCTGTGGGGGTGCTTTGCTGCAGGAGGGACTGGTGCGCTTCATAAAATAGATGGCATCATGAGGAAGGAAAATGATGTGGATATATTGAAGCAACATCTCAAGACATCAGTCAGGAAGTTAAAGCTTGGTCGCAAATTGGTCTTCCAAATGAACAATGACCCCAAGCATACTTCCAAAGTTGTGGCAAAATGGCTTAAGGACAACAAAGTCAAGGTATTGGAGTGGCCATCACAAAGCCCATATCTCAAACCTATAGAAAATGTGTGGGCAGAACTGAAAAAGCGTGTGCGAGCAAGGAGGCCTACAAACCTGACTCAGTTACACCAGCTCTGTCAGGAGGAATGGCCCAAAATTCACCCAACTTATTGTGGGAAGCTTGTGGAAGGCTACCCGAAACGTTTGACCCAAGTTAAACAATTTAAAGGTAATGCTACCAAATACTAATTGAGTGTATGTAAACTTCTGACCCACTGGGAATGTGAAGAAAGAAAAAAAAAGCTGAAATAAATCACTCTCTCTGCTATTATCCTGACATTTCACATTCTTAAAATAAAGTGGTGATCCTAACTGACCTAAGACAGGGAAATTGTACTATGATTAAATGTCAGGAATTGTGAAAAACTGAGTTTAAATGTATTTGGCTAAGGTGTATGTAAACTTCCGACTTCAACTGTACGTGTGGACTTTAGCATTCAATTCTTATAATAGTAACTTCAGAGAGTTTCAGCGCATCTATGAATGTAAAAGTGTTTGGTTGTAGCTTTATCCTCATAGTTGTTTCTGTGAAAGTGTTTGTCAGTGTGTGTTCTTAGAAACCTTGGCATTCTCCTCATAGTTGTTTCTGTGAAAGTGTTTGTCAGTGTGTGTTCTTAGAAACCTTGGCATTCTCCTCATAGTTGTTTCTGTGAAAGTGTTTGTCAGTGTGTGTTCTTAGAAACCTTGGCATTCTCCTCATAGTTGTTTCTGTGAAAGTGTTTGTCAGTGTGTGTTCTTAGAAACCTTGGCATTCTCCTCATAGTTGCGTAGTTCCAGTAGCAGGTTCTGCCTGCGCTGACTCAGCTCTCGGATCAGATCCTGCTCCACACTGGAGTCCATCAGGTTCCCCTTCATCTCCTTACTGGCAGGCAGGTAGCCACGCACTGACAACCAGCACACAACACATTGGATATCAATGGCAGCACCAAGTTGAAAGGTGGTGCAAATTCAAGACTCATGGGGTCACTTACTGAAAACACACACACAAATTAACAATATTCAATAGCTATAGTGTTCCTCATGTCTTTACCTTCTCCCTCCACAGAGGTACAGATGAGCTGGATCTGTCCATCCATGCGATAGTCCCCCTCCACCACTCCAGCCACAGAGGACGAGAAGTTGTCTTTGAAGATGACTTCACCTGTTCGATCGCTCCGTGCATCAATCTGTAAATTATGGTGAAGTCAAGGGGACTTACAACATTCCTTACACTTGGAGGAAAGGCTGGTGCCATGTGCCAACCAGTTCCAGACAATGTGACAAAGTGAAGAATTAGAGAACTTTGGAAGATTCTCGATTGGTTCTGTACTCATTTTAACAAATAGGTGCTAAATTGATTATCAACTGACGCATCAAGGTGGTTTACCTTTCCATTGGACCAGCCTGTGATGAGTTCTACAACACCGTCAGCGTTAAGGTCAAATGCATGGATGCTCATTGCATGGTTCTTAGACTGCAGGGAGAAGGAGGAACCTTTATTGGCACATCTTTAAACATAATGCTGGTGCAAATTTAATATGTTTTGTGTAAAGTGACAGGGATGCATTTAGACAGAAAACTATCTAATATTCCGCCAATTCAAAACCTGCAGTACCTTGATTCTCCAGTAGCGGGCAGTGCGGTCATATACACCCACAGTGCCGTTGGCCAGAGCATAACCAAACCTGCTGCCATGCATATGACAGAGGGAGGTAACCGTCTGAATGACACAAAGAGAGAGCAATCAGCACACATCCTTTCTTTGCTGACACACAATGTATTATAAACATAAAAATCATAAAACATAATTACATTTACATTTTAGTCATTTAGCAGACGCTCTTATCCAGAGCGACTTACAGTTAGTGAGTGCATACATAATTTTTTTATACCCACGTAGGAAACGAACCCACAACCCTGGCGTTGCAAATGCCATGCTCTACCAACTGAGCTACATCCCTGCCGGCCATTCCCTCCCCTACCCTGGATGACGCTGGGCCAATTGTGCGCCGCCCCATGGGTCTCCCGGTCGCGGCCGGCTACGACATAGCCTGGATTCGAACCATGCAGTGCCTTAGACCACTGCGCCACTCGGGAGGTAATTATCAAACAGCATTCGAAAAAACATGGCTTTACGTAAAATGAGCAATACCTCATTTTCAGCAATCTCAGACACAAGTTCGTCTTCTTTGAATACCCTAATGTCAAAGTCCTCTGATCCGACAAGAAGCTGTAAAGACCAGACAAAAAAAACACAGTACATTACCCATTTTAGGATCTAGTATAGGCCTATTTATGTAATAACGCAACATTTGAAGTTGAGTTGTAGATTGCAAAGTATTTGTAACACCTCATTTTTTCCATCACCAGTAAAATCACAGAGCACCAATGATCGCACATTATCCCCCGTGACCTGAAAATGAACCCATAGAAACAGACATCAACAGTTATCACTTCTTCTATTGCGGTAAAATGATTTTTATTTCAATCTCATTTTTGCACAACAATTCACATGATCAAGAGAGTACGAGGAACACGAGACAATACCGTCCAGAACTGGTCGTTCCCCTCATAGTCAAATCCTTGTAAAGCGCAGTTTCCTCCGATGATGGCGAGGGGGGACTCAATGTTCCCCAATTTCCCTAAAACAATGGCATTGGCCCCATCTGTCACCTATAGAGAATATGATGTGAAAAAGGACATGACATCTTTATTTGCAACTTTGTATTCAGTTAATGATTCAGCAGGCAGATGGCTTATGTAATACTGCTGCTACAACAGAATCATGAGACTATTGATATGTTATAACATTGTGTCCTGTCCTTTGCACTGTCCTTAGCTCACCTCTCTGTAGAAGATGTCAGCATTGTCGTGTACGTCATAAGCCAGCAGGTTTGTCTGGGTGCCCACGAGGAGCGTGTCTCCAGTGGTGTTGGGTCCTAATGTGCCAGCTGTCAGGCAGCTCACAGCCTGGTTGATATTGAGCAGAGAGATGTCCGAATCCTGGGCACTCTGACTCAGACGATGGGCTGCCTGCCGCTGGCCACGCGTGTGAGGGTTATGGATGAACACCTGATGGAAGAGAGAAGATCGAATAACTTTCACTGCAGTGCTATACTTCAATGCTTCATGCATACATGTAAATGGAAACTATCAAAGGGAACTGAGTGAGGCCATACCTTCCCTGCTTGTGTGGCTGCAGTGAGGCATGGGTGGATCCCATCAAACTTGCCCATTGTAACCATGCGAGGGTTGATTTTATGGTTCAGTTTGAGGGTGAATATAGGCACCAACATGGTGGCACAATCCTACAACAAAAATAACCAATCATGCTACATATGGTGTGTCTGTTCTGCTGGTTGCTTGTTTTGAGATTAGTATAAAATCGAATCATCACTGCTGGAGAAGCATGCATGTTGTATCTCTCTTTCAATCTAGCAGATACTTGCAAACTACCCTAATGTTATAAACAGATTACTCGTCGCCCGCTGGGTGTCCCGTTCCCTAGCAACACTTTGCAGCTTGTCAAAGCTTTTCATCTAGCTAATCCCTGTAGTTTGCTCTCTAGTTAGCTATGTTCATTGGCTCCTCATTATCTTCAAAAACAGCCAACATTAGATAAACAGACAACTACAAAGATAGCATAGCTATGACTAATTAAAATAATGTTAGTACTAGAGTGCAACATTTCAGTAATTATCTTTCCAAATCATGAAGACATCCACGACTGGCACGAGACAGACTGATTGTATCTCATTAGCTAACTAGCTAGCATGCTATCCACCATTTCCAGCTGCAACAAGACACGAGATTTTTCAACAACATACAAAGCATTGCATTTTACGCATATGAATGGCACATTTGATAAGGTGAGATTATATCTTACCGAAGTCCTCGATGTTTAGCTGTCTTTAACTGTCAATCTTTCTGGGTTAGCTAGCTAGCTACAAGCATGCTATGCTAACGTCCGAATACAAGGCAACAAGATGCTTTCCCTCTTGCAAATGACGTAACTTGTCACTCAAAGCTTCTGAAGTTACTGAGGGGGCTCGATTAATCTCGCCCGGGCGCCCGTGTAGGCGTGTTTTGCATCGCCTGAAAGTTGGTTGCAACCGGGCTGGCTCCCGGGCATGAGCCAGGTGCCCCGCAGGGCCACTGAGGGGATTAGATTAATCTCGCCCGGGGCGCCGTGTAAGCGTGTTCTGCACCCGGTGAAAGTTGATTGCGTTCGTTTTGGAACCGGGCTGCCTCCGGTTCCAAAACGAGGAAACTCAGAAATTTCCGACATGCTAACTGGTTGTAATTATACACGTGCCGCGTTTAACGAATCAGCTAATCGAAAATGTCCGCGTTTCCTAGTTCCGACTAGGATGTGAACGCAGCAAAAGCCCACAGCGAAGTCAGCTCAAAACAAAGTGATTTAGGAGCACGTGGAGTACTGAGTAGGATTCTGTTTCACATGCAAAAGTACCTTCCAAATTAAAACAAGTTAGAAAATTCAAACATTTATTTTATGGAAAATCGATATTGTAGGCTATGTTTCTGGACGATACTGCCTTGTTGACAAAATGACAGAGCAAGGAGAAGATTACTGTTCGATTTGAGATGGGCGCTCCTCCCTCCCTGCTTTCGCCCGATGACGTGATGGGCTTTTGCCCGGTTAAACCTGGGCCAGCGTAAAATAACTCCTTCACTTTATTGCGAGCACATCACTACACCGTAGGATGTGCTTAGAAGTCATCGTTGAATAAACAGGCTTCATTAAATAAAATATTTGGGGGTTTTCAACAATAAATAAAAACAAAGGTTTACTCACGGGGAAAACATTTATTATATTCGATTCTATTCTATTATGTTTCTGTATCGAATATGATTCGTATTATGGTAAAGTAAATGCTTAACTTTAACAAAAGTTCAAATATTTTCATTTTATATGATGAAATATGAAATATTTTTTATGATAGACTATCCTTGTTGTAGGCCTATGACAGTTCTGGCAGCAATCACTGTTTTCATAACGGTCGTTTGTAATTAATTGTAGCTGCTACTGTCAGTGACTATTTGTATAACATTGCACAATTTTCGTGGTATGACACAGCTCAATTACTCAGGCAGGATATTCTGGAAAAATACTAACACTCAGTCGACGAGCGCAAAGTGATTCGTTCTCATTCGAATGTTGCTCACGAGCGCTGCCCGTGTGCAAATAAGGGAAGCATGGACATGGAAGCTCTCAATAGAGCACCAATGACAGCAAATTCCCCCGGAAAAGTGACAAAAGAACCATTGCCCAACTGTTGTGTACCGTGTGCACTGTGCAAAATAACGATGACTGTCCAGCCGAAAACCAGTCAACAATGTAGTGATCTGTAGCCTAAATCGTCGTTTTAATCAATTTTTCATGAACACTATACAGTCTACATGTAGAATTACATACATTTTCCTCATTCTAGCCTGTAAAATAACAATATCTGGTAACGAAACGTCCAGACCCAGTGGGTTATTTGAAGGCATTCATAAGTACATAAAAATCCCAACAAATATTTGCATAGTTATGTATGAAAAAAAAAAAAGGTATGCACTCACTAACTGTAAGTCGCTCTGGATAAGAGCGTCTGCTAAATGACAACATGGTAATTAGTCTATGTAGGCTATGCAAACAATAGGCTACTCTTCCCGTGATGGGAATGTTTTCGCGCTGGAGAACAAACCGTGTGCAAGCAAGCCTTTTATGATCTGTCTGCGTGAATGCGCGACTCCGTTTTGCACACTGCACCTGTCTGCCCCGGACGCTATAAAGGCGGTGCCTCGCCAGATAGAAATTAAAAGCTGACTACACACCACTGATACCCAGGCGAAATACTGCGGTCCATTCGAATAAAGAAGGGAGATCAAAAACTGGAAAATGGATCCTTGTGAATGCGCCAAAAGTAAGTTTTCATGTACATTGATCAATGTATCAAGGATAAAGGCTATGGATACGCCTTAAGCGTATTTATTTAGAAAACTCTTAATGACAGGTAATTGGTTATATTAGCCTAACTCGAGCCGTTTTATTTGTAGCTGGATCTTGCAACTGCGGTGGATCCTGCAAGTGCTCCAACTGCGCATGCACCAGTTGTAAGAAAGCAAGTAAGTGGGTCTGTTACGTTCTAAATCCCACTAGTAGTGTTAGGCCAACTGAGTTTTTCTTATCGCAGGTGGCACTAACTCCCTATGATTAGCCTAATTAACCTCATTAGTAGGCTGTGCAATAGTCTTTGGTTATAACTAATTTATTTTTTCGTCCCCTCAGGTTGCTGCGACTGCTGTCCCTCCGGCTGCAGTAAGTGTGCCTCAGGCTGCGTGTGCAAAGGCAAGACCTGTGATACCAGCTGTTGTCAGTGAGGCCTGGTGCATGACCATGACATCACAATGCAGTCCATTCCCTATGACTATGAAGTTGCCCATGTGGTTGTACCATCTTGAGCATAGATTTTGCACTTTGTACTTTGTCAAATGTAAGGCAATAAATTGCATCTAACTTATTAATGTTTTTTTGCCTTTAACTTGGGTTGCTGGAGTTGTTGGAAATAAGCTTGTTCAGAATGTTTTATCCACATTAAACTGACTTAAAGAAACTTCACTTGAACTTACTCTAACGGTTGTCTGTGGCGTTAGTTTAGTACTTCAGATGGTTGACATCTGAGACTATCCACAGGAAAGTATTGCTTAACTGACTTTTTAGAGTGCTGTACTGAAGTGGCATTAGTCAATTGTTAATAGTACAAATGTTTTTTTTTTTTTTTTTCAACAATCAAGTTCAAGACAACTGGGAAAATAGTTTTTGGGTGGAATGTCTTAATCTGTCTGGTTGCTTTTTAGTAACCCACATGTGTCCTGGACGACTGTATGATGTATCCCTAACAAAGGGAGAAGTATTTGGATGGAAGACCCCTACGAACTTCGGTTGCTGCTGGGGGACTAGAGTAAATGTGCTGCTGTGCAGGTCACTTTCAGTGACTGGATCCTGCAAGCTCTTATTACGATGTCCTTGAACAAGTGTCTGGTATCTAATCTTCAATGCAACTCTAAATACTACACACAGCTAAACCTCCATGTCCACAATGCGCTTTGAGATGTAATAGTTGATTAGGAGTGTTTACTTTTAGGGTGCTTAGTTACCAATTAGGCATAGCATGGTTATGAAAGGCATATGCCAGCACATGAAGGGATTGAAAATTACATTCATTGCTATAAATTAGAATTTAGTCCCCATCACTAAACGAGGATAAGGCAGACTCAACGAGAAGGGAGGTTGGACCAATGACTGGCTGGAGGCTGAGCACCCACTCCCTCAAGATAGTATAGAGGGGTTATAAATAGCAAGCTGGAACAATTCAAGCAATTGCTCGTTCCTGGGAAACCCCATCAGCTCTCAGTTTTTGATTTTACTAAAATATGTTCAAGTTCAGGCACAAGGTTGCAAAATATATTACCATCCAGCACAGCAGGTGGTGTGAGAGAGCTGCCAACAAGTACAAAGTGCAAGGTCTTGTGGGGAAAAAGAGGCATGATTGCTGAGCATTACCATAGTCCTTGGTGGAACCAGAAGTGCGCTTGTTTGAAATGGAAAAGCGTCGCGGTAGCTATTGATAAATAAGAACATTAAGATGAAGCAGATGCTGTACAAGTGGGATGCACTGTTGAGCGCTACATCCTGAGGGGTTCGTGCTGATTGTATGGAGATTGTGACAGCCTGTTAAATGGCATCCCTTGAGAAGGAAAGAACAAGATGTATGTCAGGAGAAGTGCAGTATTATCATAAGGAGACTTATACTTGGAATACAGAGGAGGAATGGAGGGAAAAAGAGAGGCAGAGGAAGAGGTTGAGCTTTAGTCTGTAAAAAATGGCAGGAAAAAGGGAGATGGTTTGTTAAAGAAGAATGGTAGAAAGTGTAAGCAGAGTGAGGTGAAGACAGGAGGAGAAATGGAAGTGAATGAGGGGGAAGTATCGGAGGTGGTAGGTTTGGTGAAGTTCTCGGAGCCCGAGGCTTGCACCGAGGGTCAGGATAAAGATGAGTCGGTGACAGTAGGTGTGAAGTCTTTGGAAAAAGTGCACCCTTGCCTTTTGGCTGATCCATTTGTAGTTTCAGAGTGGGTGAAAACAGAGTTGGGTGCTGTGGATTTGGTGAGGGTAACCAGAAGTGGTCTTGTGATAATTGTTGGTCTAGTGATAATTGTTTGTTTCTGCTGGTAAGAGGGAGCAGGCGCTCCGTGTTAATCGAATTGGGGCAAGAGATGTGAATTTTTTGCTCAAGAAAGGTCGCCATTGAAAGAAGTGATTACTGGGGTAGCGGTAAATGTGAAAGTTGACCAACTGAAGGGGAAGATTCCCGGTGTTTGTGATGCTCGTCATTCGATGCAACGCAGACAAGGTGGTGTGAGTGGTGAAACAGAAGAGTCGTTGTCTGTTGTTTTGAGTTTTGATGTTGAGTCTTTGCCCAACAAAGTGATGTTAGGATATATAAATTATCCTGTATGAGCTTTTGTTGTTACAGGTGTCAAGCTTATGGGCATGTGGCAGCAGTGTGTAGGAGGGAGGTTCCTAGGTGTGAGAAGTGTGTAGCATCGGTGAAAGTAGTGGTATGTGTTAATTGTAGGGGTGCCCATGGGGCTGGGGATCAGAAATGTCCGGTGCGAGAGAGGCAGTTTGAGGTTTCCAGGGTTAGAGTAGTGCAGAAGTTGTCATATGCTGAGGCAGTGAGAAAGTAGAGGAAGATGGGTCAAGGGGGAGGGATCCTGAGAGGAGTCGTGAGAGTAGTAGGTCTGTACCAGTACAGAGGGATAGGACAACAAGTGATATATGTTTCAGTAAGATTGGATTTATAGCAATGGTTGTCAACTGTACTGCAGGGATGGAACGTACGTCACAGAAAATTGCAGTTGTGGTGGCAGCTGCAGAGAGGTATTTGGGTGTGTGAGACTTGACGTCAGAAGAGTTACAGGGTGTGTTAAGTGGTGGTGTCCCATCCTTTCAGGCTGTTGGCCTGAAGTAGGATTAAATAGATTTAAATAATTACATTTACATTTCAGTCATTTAGCATACGTTCTTATCCAGAGCGACTTACAGTTAGTGAGTGCATACATTATTATTTTATTTTA